CCCCCACCCTCCATGCTTCAGTTTAGCACATAGCTGCTATAATTCGTACTCCTTTAATAGTCCTGGGGGAAATATAATGAGAAGAATCTCAATTAGATTGTTTTAAATGAAAACAAACTTCATTACCACTTCTGTCAGAGAAGCTTCAAAAAGCTGTATGATGAGGGTCAACTAAAGTGATGCAGTCATTAGGAACAACTATTTAAGTGGCCAATTTAAATGAAAACAGGAAAAACGGGATTAAAAGTTTTCCTGAGAGATTTCATGGCTCTGTAGAGCATTGTTCCTTGTACACTTAAAAAGGAATGCTGTTTAAAGAGCAAAGAAAAGGCCTCCAAGCAAGTATGAAAAAGTAAATATCTGCAGGCTGAGCTAAATGTAATCACAGCTATATCTCCACAGAAGATATGAAAATAGGAAACTCTGGATAGCAAGATCCCTTGTTTCCCTATTCTTCTCTAGTCCAATTCATCATTTTTGTTGTGGAGCTCTCAGTGTGTCAAACCATACTGTTTTAAAACTGTTTCTTATGATCATTTTAATAATAATAACAACAACAATCAGATATTACTGGACAATAAACATTGATAATAGGCCACAGATATCTAAAGATGATGACAGGGTATTTTTAAGGTAATGAGTGTATATCTATAAAATTACTGAGATCATGTATCCATTGCAAAGTACTTAATGGTATTTCTTCACTAAGGAGGGAGACTGCAAAGTTTAAATTTGTTTTCCTATACTTGTGGTAATTCTTATTAAAAAGAAATACATTTTTGGTATCTATAAACATGCTCTGCAAAGTTATTTTGTATTATGTTTCAGTGATTAAAATGTAATTCCTTCCAGAAAAGATCACAATCCTGATCACAATTATTTAGCCTCCTACAATGTTATAAAGAACCAGGCTTTAATGAAACTTCTACATTTGGAAAAATATTCTGATATAGGGTTTCTATGAATTAATGCATTATTGTACAAATAACTTTTAATAATTATTTCTTTAGCTGAAAACAATTGTACTAGGGTCTTTGGACATGATAAACAGAGAATGGCCACTACAAAGATGAAATGAATGGTTATAAATCTGTGCTTACTCAAGACATTTTTCTGCCTGGAACGAAGCCTAAATGGTACCCCACTCCTACTATGGACCAGCACTAAAAAGTGTTGCTGCACCATTCAGACATCAGTTTCCAACTTCATCTATCCACACCACGGTGCTCTCTGAAGCAGATCACTTGACGTTACTGGAGGGCAGGGCAGGACAAGGCAGGCTCAGTTATGAATTAACACTCTTCATAACAGAATGGAAAAGAAGGCAGCTCTTTGGTCACTTGCATATGACTTACAAATAGGTTTAGGAAATCACTGGTGCCTAAAAATGGTTGTTTTGAAAAGCCACCAGAACGTATTTGATTAAGGCAAAACTGATATCCAGAAGCTGAGGGAAACATTTAGAATGATTGTCACAGATAATCTATACATACATCCTGTTACTACATGGTGTAAATACTGTACCACTTAGGTTTACATTTAAATGCATTAAGAACATGTGATGCTTCCTGTAGGAAAATGGTGAGATACAAATATAATAAATAAGTAGGTAATTAAATACAGAAGGACATATGCAAAATTAAGTTTGCATGTTATTTCCATAGTAAGAAGCTAGACTGGAATGTAATGGTCAGGATGCAATAATCATAACTAGTTTTCTTGAATGTAAACTCCCTATGCTGCTTGGTGAACTGTTTTCTGACACAGGGAGTTTTAAGAAGTTTTTTATATGTTGTAGAGGTCTGCTCTTCAAAGGAAAAACAATCATCAGTCGAGCACAAGGTTTTGAACTACTTTACTATGTTTTGACTTCAGCAATGAATAAAAATGCTTGGAGTATGCTGGATTGGGTTCTATGTTTCCAGGAGAAGTGTTTGCCAATAAGTACAGCAGCAGCCTCTGGTGGTGTGAATGAAATCAGGTGTCCATGAGCACATGAGAAATATATTTTTAAAGACATGTATGTATTTATTCAGCTATTTGACTATTAATGACAAAATACTAAAAATATTAACTAATGCATCATTTTAAACTATCTTTCTAAAAACATTCTGAACAGTTAGAATGAAAAATGCATTAATTAATAAAATATGAAACCTTTTTTCTTGTTGTATGGAATACTGTATGTAAAGCAAATTTTCAGTGAGATTTTGCTTTGCTTTGAACCAAATATATTCCTATGAAACATGACATTTTTCTTTTGACTACTGAACACGGTTGGCAGATGTTTTCAAGAACAAAAATTATCTTAGAACAGAACACTGTAAGTAAGGTTTCCTGCCATATTGTGTGAGATGAAGTTTATTGCCCAGACCAAATCATTCCCCTTAACAAGCTGTAACATACATTGGCAAGTACATTATTTCATAGTTAAAAAAATTTACAGCTTGAAACAATAAGCACTTTGATCTTTCAAGCTGTACTCTTAAAGCTTCAGAAGGTACACATAATCTGCTAGTTAGTCATTTCTGTTTATATTCTTCCCTTAGAAAAAGATTTAGCAAAGACCTCAACTCAGTTGTAACTTATGGGTATAGATGTGGATTATTATAGAGGAGGTATGTGTGGAATTTCTAAATAATGAAATCTAGGCCATTCACAAGTGTTCGAATGTGTACTTTATATAGAAATAAGATAAACAAGTTAAAATAACCAAAGTTAAAACCAGTATTCCCAAGCTTTTGTCGATTAAATCACAATATTCTTAAATTTTCTGCAAGTACCATATCATGCATTTGTGTGTGGGTGTGTTTGAGTAACTAATATTGGTAGTTTTGCTTGCTTTCCCTAAGTATTATTGCAGTGTATTCTGGCGATAGCCCCACTGGTTTATAGAAATGATTAACCAGTATTCACCCAGCAGCAAGTGGCACAAATTGGCAGTTGGTTAAGATCTGTTGACTCTTCAGGGGCCTAGCACCTTGTAGTCAATCCTATAACTCAACACTTTTCATCAGGTGGTCAAACATACAACTTATTGGAGAGTTGTAAAATTTAACAGGCATACTGGCAAAACAAACCAAAACCAAAAAGCCTAGAGTAAAATGATGAGAAATAAATGTATTATCACTGTGCATACAGAAATATATATGATCAGGGTTGGGTAGGAGCACTGAGTTTTAAGAGTACCAGTTCATTGACTATAACTTATATTAACTGATTCGCAAGCCAGCCACACAACTGTTTGTCTTAGCATACAGCAATATAGCTCCTAATAGTTATTTTTCAGATGAAAAATAGTTTACCTACTTCTTTGGGCTTTACAATGCTCTCCCAATACACAACATGAATACAACATGGAACATGGATACAATTGAGGCCTTAAAATAATTCTAGAAAAAAGATCTGGCTGCACAAAAAGATCCTCTAGGGATGCTTTTCAGGAGCTGTAGTGCATGCTGAAGTACTTTCTGCATGTGCCACAAGATCTCTGGATTTGATCAGCAGGTAAACACACGTGATACTTGATGTGGCATTTACCCGAGGCTTCAGGATGAAAAAAAAATCATGCTGGATGAATATTTTGTATATGAGAAATAGAAAATGTGACACAGTAATGTAACTGAGATTCAATGTAACAGTCAAAGCCAAACAGATGAGCAAAATGCAACAATTGGTCTTGTCTCTGGGAGAATTTGCAATACCACAAAATTCCAGCATTACCTTTCAAGAAGTGATACTTCTCAGAGTGACGCTGACTACTAAATAACTGATTACGTATCATATTAGGTAATAAAAGGAGAAAGCAAGGCCTGTGCAGCTATTTTTTATATACCACTATCAGTTTCATCATTTTTGCCTTATCGTCATGTATTCAAGAGCCATAATTTGCTCTTATTTCATTTGACAATGCATGCAATGCATGCACAGTAAAATCAATTAATAAAACTATAATTTGCCCCAGACATTGCCATTGTCCAGAATTAAAATAAGAAGAATGAGTAGGAGGAAGGAACACTTTGAAAATTACAACAATGCTATTTTTTCCCTGAGTTTTACTATTCAATCATGACAGGCACAGCATTCTAATCACACTGGAGCATTTATGACATGTTTTTACTGTTGAAATAACAATGCTAACTTTTAAAAAGAGAGTTCGAAAAATTTCATGATGTGTCTAGAATGTATAATGCTCCCTATGTATATGAAGTAGGAAGCGTCAAAGCACAAATAATATTGTTTGTACCCCCTGTAGAATTAGAAATCCTTGGATAGCACTGTTATAATGATCCCATGCTGGCAGCATTACAAAGTGCGAAGGTTCACTGACTAAGAAAAGAGCAAGGGACAGAATTTCCTCATTGCACCATTCCTGAACTATTGACTTAAATATTTATTAAGATATTAATAATTCCCTTCAGTTATCTTTCTTTAGAAACTTAACTGAAATGCTGTGGGTGGCTGCAGATATGTAAATAACACATTACAGGCCAAAGATACAACTATATGAGATGAACATCAGCATTTGGCCACTGTAGTATTAATTTATCAAGAAATGTGTTAAATACTAGACTATTATTTAAAACTGTTTAAGCTACTGCTGCCCAAGAACATAAGAATACAAAGTGAAGACATTCCTTACTTTGTGAAACATGTTGTCTAATGTGTATTTAGAAAGTGCAGCTTATACATCTGTCTACGCAAAAAATACCTTTTCATAAAAATATTTTTCAAATAAGTTCTTGTCTATGGAATGCATACTATGTTCCTTTGGGGTTTATTTGATGTTCCTCTTTGAAATTAAAAGGGATTTTCATATACTTTCAAATTCAATGATAATAAAAAAATCAATAGAAAGAAGCACTTTCAGTATTTGACAGTTACATCATTTAGCAACATTCAATTTCAAAATCATAGTATTTCAAAATTTAACTAGATAACTGAATTTATAATATTTTGGAATATTTAGTATTAATACAAAACAAACTAGACCAACTTACTCTAATATACAAGTGCACAGTTTCCTTTTCTTTTTGTGGATTCCGATACTTCTCATAAAAGTCCCGTCGCTTCTTTGTATCTTTTTGGATTTTTTCTTTCCTCTCTCTCTTTTCTGCAGGTTCATCTGATCTATCAGGAGACAGCTGTATTTGGGCTTTTGCCTTTTCAACCTCAATATAGTTTTCATTTGGATTCAGTACTATTACTCCATAGCCTTCCTGTTTCAGAAGAAGAAAAAGAAAACACATTGGCTTTGAAGTCATTTGCATTTCATTTTTATTGATTTAAGTTTCAGAGATTTCCATAAAGTTGATATAATTCCTCCATTCCTTTATGTGTTTGTATCTGAATGTACCATATCTGCTTCTTTTTACTTGCCTATCTCCTATAACCTTTCAACAATTTTTCAGTATTTTATACAATTCATCAGAAAGTAAGGAAAAAACCCCAAAGTGGTCCTAAATGACTGCACAACCATCATAATGTATAGCTAACACTTCATAAAAACTTATACATTTACACTATTAAAGCTACTCATTTCAATTAGATTTACATGGTGAAACTGTATGCAGGACTGTATGCTTAACTATTAAATACTTCTGTCTAATTCATAACATGTTAGCAGCAGTAACAATGAATCAATATCAACTATGATAATTTGACATTGCTTAAAAATCAATGAATTAGTTACCATTTTAGACATGAACCATTTTATTGGAATTAAATGATGTATTATGTTTGCAGCCTTTAGGGGAAAATATGCTAAATATCTTATTCTATATCATTTTTTTCTCAGAAAAATGTTAACTAACAAGGAATATATGCATGTTACTTTCAAAAATCTGGACATTTTGTTAACATAAAAGAAAATATTGAAACAAGTATGAGAATGAGGTCTCTCAAAAGCATGACTGAAAAATAAAAGAACTCATGGAACAATCTTCAAGATGTTGAATCTCTTGTTTATATTTTTCTAAAATTACCTCCAAATGTTAAAGTAAAGCCTATTTCAATCTAGTTAACACAACATAATTTCTGCCAAATAAATAGATGAGAAGATGAAAGTCTACCTATAGATGATCAAAGTTAACCAAATCTACAGCAACAAAAGATACTTTATTTGGTGTTGCTTTATTCTAATCTGTGTAGCTATTCAAAAATCTTGTAATGCATTGTGGTAACTGTCAGGTAGACAGATTGTCACTTGGTGATTTTCTACAGTTGGACACACTCGACTAGTTATTAAAATCACATTTGAAGAAAGTTCTTACTCTTCCTTGTGCCTGTACAAGTTTACACGCCCTTCTCAAATTTCTACTATACCCTCTCCTCCCACCAAAACTAAGTTAAAGAACACTGTTGCACTCTGTTAAGCAGGGTGAATTAGAGGCATTCAGTTCACTGTCTGTGGTGTAAGGGAACATGGTAAAAAGGTCACCATAGGCCAAAGAGAAAATTGCTTCCTTCTAGATTCTGTACCATGAGTAAGTGATCTCCTGTCATCTTTTTCCCCAGTTCTCTCTTCAGAAAGAACCTATACATTCACACATACTTATCATATGCTTTGGAATGAAATGACCAGTATAAATTCTATTTGTTATATAAACAGTCTTATCTGAGATCTTTATGAAAAATTTAGCACTGGGGCACACTATGCTCAAAAAGTATAATGCACTAAAAAAAAAAAAAAAGATTCATGCCTTCATGGATGAATAAGCTACTAATAAAATACCATGACAAAACTATTATATGTTGCAAGGGGGAATTTTATCTTGTGTATCTATTCAAAACATACCTTAGTATTCAGAGCTTTAGTTCACTATACATGTTCATTCTTTTTTCTTTTTTTTGGAATAGATGTTCCATCTATTGATTATTTTTATTTCTATACATTGCAAGATGTGAATTTCATGTAATTGTTATGATTTTACACGTTACTGAAATGTGAAACTATGCCAACTTTTTGCTATTCACAAAAACAGACACACATAAATCATCAGAGAAGTAAAATTTGTCTAAGTTATTGATTATGTAACTGAAAATTACATGACTCATTTGTCCAATTTTATAAGGACATAATGTCAATTTTTCACAGACACTTCAACAGATGAAAAATGAATCCATTTCAAAAATCACAGCTTCATAAATCAATTAAAGAATTTTTATCAATTAGGTTTTAACCAGCACAAACCATCCCTCAAAATGCATTTACAACTCTTTTCAAAACATCTGTTAGAGGAACGGGAAAATTAACAAAACAATACTTTAAAAAATTCTATCACAAGCTACATAGTTTCTTTCTAAATTCCACTATAAATGTTGTTTTGTTGTAAAAAAAAGTTGACATAGTGTCATATTCATTTCTACTTTTTGTCCACAGCCACATCAGTCTAAATTATATGAGAAAAAACAGGCACAGGAAAGAGGATTAGGAGTAACACACAATACTTGCTCAGATGAAAGGCTGTACAAATGCAATATAACGTATATAACAGCAGCAGAATTTAACCTCTATCACTATTACTAAATTGTTACCAACCTAAGCTATCAGAAGTTAATCTGTGTCTCTATAGGGTGACCTTTGTTTGCTCTTCACCTATGAAAACAATGCAATACTTGCTTTTAAACTGTGCAGTGTTGGAATATCAATTTTCAAAAGAAGTTTCTCAATTTTAATATTTAGAACAGAATTGTGCCATCACCAGTGTCAAGGTGCTAATTTTTTCACAAATGTAAAGCAAAGGTGACATTCCTGAGCTTACAAAAATATTTTAAAAATGTGATGACAAACAATATCGATCTACAGTTTTATAAAAATGGCTTAGAACCCATAGTGGACCATTTAGAAAGAGTGAGACAACACTACCAAGATCATTTGGAAGCCCCAACTTTCAAGGTTGAAATGTATATTCGAAACGATCAACTTAGAAGTAGACACCAGTCTAATCCCCAGTATAAGATAGTGAAACTGAAATAGTAGTTTGAAAATGAGGTTTTCATTTATAAACACAGCAATTTAATTATGTTTATGTTAGGAATCCCGTTTTCTTAGTTACCAAACATTTCCAAAATGAATTTCAATTTTGTTTTTAACTACATATAATGAGAAAAATCTTATTTTCTCCCATAATACAAAAATGCTCTGTAAAATATTTGACATATTGCCATCAACCATTTACATCATAATATATCTGAGGGAGAATGCAACATTCAATAAGTTTCAAGTTCATTTGCACAGGCCAATTAGTATAATTACATGTGATAGATGTTATCAGGACAGATAGTGGTAAAGTAGGCTTTTAGCTAGATGGCCAATTTGATATAATCCAGCTTCAGTTCTAAAATCTATCAAGCAGGATATACACCACAAGCATATTAACTGGTATGAATCCTAACTAATGCATCAAGTGATATAACTGAAGAACATTTTTTTCTTATTTCAAAAGGGTTAAAATGATAAAGTTTTGTTTTCAAATTTATATATAAACCTACTCGACATTCATTAATTCAGAAGTAAAGCATGCTTAGACAAGCACTGGAAACCAAACAGATTCCCAAGAAGGATGGTTTGTATTATGTGTCACACAAATGCCACAAGTGTGCTAGGTCTAAAAATATAATTATCATAATTTTAAAAAAACAGTTATATCTTGTTTTGGAAGTCTTCTTAAGATGCTTCAAGCATTATAGACACACCCACACCAAGCATAGCATGTTAGCAACTAACAGAATTCTACATGGCAATAAAAATATTTAAGATACATTCTGGAATTCTACAAACCTCTTGCGCCTGGTCAAATGACTAATGAGCTAAAACCATTCAGCCCTGCATATTAATCCACCAGGATGGGATGCCATATGTGACTTGAGAGGTCAGAGGCTAGAGTGGAATCTTTTGACCTATGTATCTTATCTTTCTGGCTCATAAGTAAGAATCTGTAACAGATCATTTTCCTAAGCTTTATCAATCTGAATTTTAAAAAATCTATTTAGACCATTTGAAGCAAGATCAAAGCTAATCCTCTAGGGAAAAGCACTCTAAAGAGCTTAGATCTGTAACCCAGATCTCCGTATGGCAAAAGTGGACATTTGAATGGATATTAATCTTTGCAAAAGATGTATGATCTGTTTATTTCCCATCTTTTTCATGAGAAGGGTACCTATGTGTCACTGTTGCAACATCCTAGATGCAACAGTAGGATGAGGTCATGACAACCAATCAGAAGTCACTAGTGAAGCGTAAAAGTAAACATAGCTGTTGGAGATGCAGCTCAGCTTGAAAAATGCCCCCTCCATTATTTGAGCAATTTTCTCAAGACGTGACCTGAGACTGAAACGCCTGAAATGTCAGTTGACTTCTTTTTTGTATTTTCACCTAATGTGCATTTTGGCAACTGCACCCTGCTAACACTTTGTAATATTTTCATCCCAGTTACACCTCATATCTCAGGCTTCTGAATTCCACTGCTGAGCCCAAGTGTGTAAAAATGCTGTCTTACTGCCAAACTTACATTGTTCTACCGTTTCCAACTTAAATAGCTCATCAAGTTAGGCAGGAAAAGAAAACATGCCACAAAAAGTTTTTAGGGGACCACCTGTTGTCTATTATTTTTACATAGCACTTACTCATAAATCATAACACAGGGTAATTAATCAAGCTGTCAAAGAAAAGGTCAGAGGTTAGGTAGGGGAGTCAGAAGGTCATGCATGGGCTGATAGAGGTCAGGGTCACACCACATTCCTCATTATCAAGTTGGGATGAGAGACGGCCCAAGCAAACAAAAGTGAAAGCAGATGGAGAAGTGAGTGGATAAAAAAAGAAAGAAAGAAAACTTCACAAACAAAAAGAAAAGTGAAAGAAGAGTGTCAGCTGCCTTCAGATAAAGAATAGAACTGAAATACACTGAATTGTGCTCAAAAGGTCTAATACAACATAAAGAAACTATATTTTCATTCGTTAAAGTCTACCTCTGTACATTTATCAGGCTGATCTTCTGGTAGAAAATAAGCAATACAGAAACATAGTTTCAAGATTTTCATACAGTCTTCCAAAAATTTAAGGCAAATTAGTAAAAAGCAGTTTGATTATCACCACCAAATGCTGTTTTAACTTTGTAGCTACAACCTATGGCAATGTTATAAAAAGCTTTTATTTGTATGAAAAATAGGTTTTGAACTATATTCTTCATACACACAAATGTTCATTAACACAAAACAT